TATATATATATATATATATATATATATATATATAAGAAAATATGAAGCTTATTTTTTTCCGCTCTATCGATTCTGGCGCTGCATTGCATCGTATTTCGGCATTTCGATTTTACTTGTACTGCGCTTACAATTGCTGCACTGACTTCCATTACTTGATCTTCGCAGAATCCATATAGTAATCGAATGAAGTGATTTTGAGCATTTTCCAACTTCTATCAGGAGTTTTTCGTGCCGCTTCTTATCCTACCAGAATATCCGGCCGATCCATACTTATTTTAATTGTGACGACTTCCTGAACAGAATGGCTCAGCATACGTGGAAATGCTTTTAGACCGTACTTCTTGCAGAGTACCAAATTGACCTCACTGTGTTCTTCTAGTATGGTCGTATATAACATTTTCTCGCACTCCGTTGCTATATAGTTGACTGTCTTCACACGTTCCTTACAGTGTTGGCACATACCTTTCTCAGCTCCAAACAAATCTCTATCTTGGAGATAACAGTATCGTATTTCATTTTTCCATCTTGATAAATTAGCTACAGACGAGGTTTATTCATCCTCATCTTGTATTCATGATGAGTTTCTTTTCTACTTCGTTATATAAAGAGCATCTTCTGGGCTGCTAATTTTCTAAAGAGTACAGTAATTGCCAAGTACGTATTGTAAGCCTTCTCCTGTTTCAAAATCGCCGCACTCCTGCTAGATATGGACAAGGTATCTACAGGAACATTATGTAGTTGGAAAAAGATGAGCTCACTCCTTTGCCTAAACATTATGAAGTCTACATCTTAGCTCGCTTCTTGGTAGATACAGTCTCTCCAAACATGCAAGTTAATTATATATTTATAATTATATTGCTTGGCAGAGCTACCGAACGACTGAGTGTTGCTGGCTAGTCAAATTGTATCACAGCAGGAAATGGAGAATAAATGACAGAAAACCCTGTCCTGTAATGATGAATTAAAACAAATGGAAAACAGGTGTGATCGTAGAGAAAAGGTCTTTGAAGCATATGGGAAAGCTCGACCAATGTGCCGGAACCAGCAACCAGCACAACTGAGTGCCGGATGAATATTTCTAGAGTACTGGAAAGTGGTCTAACGCGAGAATTAATAACGCAGAAAAGAGGATTCACCTTCAAACTACTGGATTTAAACAATATATATTCTTCTGAAATTGTTAAACTGGCTGAGTTGCCATATGATTGGATTGTAATTACATTGCAGGAAATGAAGGATGAAGGGAAAAAAGTGCGTCTGAAATCATAATGATAAACAGTGGTAGTGCAAATGAGCTTGTAAAAGTCTCCGTGAAGGGTGTGAGAGAATACTCTGCCAGTGCACCAGAACCAGGTGCCAGCGGAATGATTACGCCTAGAGAACTAGTCCGCCGAAGATAGGTTTCATTGAACAGGTGCCCAGGCAAAGTGCTGATAGTTGTTATTAACTATTTCAGAAGAATTCTGCAAGGGGCATGCACAATGTGTCTTTCCCTGTATAGCGAAGAAGTTCGCGTTTTTTCCCCTCCAAAAACTGAAGAAGTAAGAAATTCTGTGATCACCAATATTGCAGGCTGTTTGTGCTTATAGAAACGGTTCTTGGAGAAATCAACGAAGCGTATCAAGACACAAGAAAGTACTTCGAGCAAAACACAAGTTTAAGGCTTGTGTAGATGCAAAGGAGAAATAGATGGTGCTGATGCAAGAAGCACGCGGAGGTGAGATAAATCAGACAAAGTGGACGCGGAAAATAATCTCGGAGAAAGCTTACCCGCTTATACTTGGAGCGGGGAATCAAGTAGCTGATGAATATATCACATAGAATCCTTCCAAATCAATGATTCATATCGCAAAACAGTTTCAGGTGTTACACTATGAACTACTGACAAGGAGGGTGAAGTCACCGGTAGAAAGCAAGCATAGAAAAAAGGATAAGTTTGAATAACTTTTACAAAACCCTTGTAGAACTATATTTGGCCGGTGACACTCCTAAACATGAGCATCTAAGAGGGGACATAAAGTACATGAGAGATACTGATTTCATATTTGGTTTTAGAGCTATGATGTTTTAAGCATGCTGACAGTGCGTGTAAAACTTTACGAAAGTAAAATTGGAAATCATAAGTCCTAGTGTGCATTCAAAATTCAAAATTCAAAACGCCAGATTTCAGCTGTTAAAAAGCGGTTCCACAAGAATCTGATAGAAAAACAGCCTCTGAGCTACAATGCAGCGACAAAAGAAATCGGAGATTATTGAGACACGATGTGGAATTCGAAGATGGAAAAAGATAGTGGCATCCAATACAGCGATCTTGGAGAATTTGTTCTAGAATATGAAGTGCAAGATACTTTCTCATGTGAAACCGAATTTGGAAAGATAGCTCAGTCACTTATTCGCCCAATTGGAAGACGGCGCTCTCTGATGCAGTCTATAAATTCTTCATTGAAAAGTACACTTTCTTACATCCAGACCTGTATAAAATAATAAGACGGATTTGTCTGGATGAGATAAAACAGGATTCGTGGTTTTACAAAGGAATTACCTATCTGATTCTAAAAGATGTCCCAAGTAAAGGTAGCGACTTCAGGCCAATAACTTGTGTGTCGAACCCTTACAAGTTGATAACGAAATGCGTGGCACTTTTCAAGCAGTTATATGTTGCTATGAGAAGGCTACTGGCAGATAACCAATTAGGAACTGTTACCCAGGTTCAAGGTTCGATAGAACAAGCATTATTGAACCTGACGGTTTGCAAAAAGCATGGAAACCAGCTTTACACTACGTGGTATGATATCAAAAAAGCGTTAGGTTCAGTTAATTACAGATACCTAATTAAGTGCATTGAAAGGCTTAACGTGCCATCGTGGTCAGCAGGTTTCTGAGAAGCATCATATTCAGATGGGCAGTCGTACTAAAAAGCAATAGAGAAACTATAATAGAAAAAAAATAGGGCTGGGTATTCTCTAGAGAGGCAACCCATCTGCTATTCACTTTATGCATGGATACTTTGTGCTGTAAACTCATTATGAGGTCCCACCGATCAAATAATGTACATAACGATTTTTTGATAATCTCAAGCCTCTTGCAGCCGATGAAGATGTCACGAAATTGCTAAGAGAGTTCAGAGATAGTAGCGTCAGAGGTGAATCCAGCAAAGTCGGCCAATAACACTAGCACCGAGGTATGCGCTGATAAAGCAGCGTTCTCGGAAGGAACTCAAGAGTATAAATACCTTGGAATAGTGAAAGACAGGACTAGTGCACCGACCAGAGAAAACTTAGATAAATTACGAGCAGGGATTTTGGCGAGAATTAAGAGATTAGCCAGAACTGCACCAAATGGTAAGAACTTCATCAAGGCAGTAAATGAGAAAGCTATAAGTTTGATAAATTATTACATTGAGGTGCTCGAACCAGAAGACTTCAAAGCTATAGACCATGGCATTAGACAGTTACTCAATAAATACGAATTCATAATCAACGCGAATGCTTAGGAGACTGTATGTGATCACTTGGGATGGGGTAGTAACGAACTTCCATGAGCGCTATGCAAAGGAGAGCAGTATATCTGATCACGTTGAGGTATACACACAAAGGATAGTACTCTATAAGATGCTAGAAATCATCTCATTTGATTAGCGCCATGGATTCGACTGAAAGAAGCGACGGAGATAAGCACAGTAAACATGTGCGTGGGGAGAGTACAGTGGGAGTGTTAAAATTTCATCCCCCCCAGAAGCAGTGATGCAGGAAAGAAATCATGGAATAATACACTATACATACAGTGTATTATTCCATAATCTATGCAATAATACTGCAAAATTGAAGTATGATGACGCCTGGTGAGCTGACCTGTTTATCGATTAGATACATAGCGAAAATCAATAACAGCATATCAAGGAAACATGACGAAAATACTAATCCGATTTTCGTTTAGTAGCAAATATGTGACGAAGTAAATTGTCTTTTTAGAGATAAATTACTTAAAACTTTTATTGTATTTTGATATGGATTGAAAAGCAGTTTCAGGTTATATTGTATATTGTATCTAAGCATTGTATATTGTACAATACAATCTGAAATATTGTATATTGTACAATATAATCTGAAATTTCACTTAACAATATTTTGAAAAAGTATTATGATATTTCCGTTCTAAAAGCAAAATGACATGATCATTGGTTGAAGAGAGTAAAATTGCTTCATAGTAAATGCGCTGATAAAATAAGATTTGAAAATTTTAACGCTTTGTAGTTAATATGTGCATACTACGTAAGTATTACTATTACTACCATTTCAATACTGACATAAAGTTCATAGATTTTTGATATGGTATTTGACTGTCTAGCGTTACAAGTAATAAAGAATTATCATTTTATCATCTTTATACTTATTAAGAGATCAATCATGACATGCAGCACACATTTCACCAAATTGTAATAAATTATATAATGAAAAAATACCCAACTATGCAAATGTGAAGTTAGTTACCTTCGCCTTTGCCATTCAGGAATTGTAGTTCTTGTCCAATCTCTCTGCCTCCATTGCTTACGACGTTGTAAAGCTGATTTTGATGGGACTTCCACTTTGTCCTGACAAAATTAATTGTAAATTAAAGGTATAATTTGAATATGGATATAAAATTAAGAATAAACGAAAATTAATTTTTGTTTATTGACAGAATTTTTAAGATGTTTAATCAGAATCAAAAAGAATTATTCCTGCAAATAACGTTCGTGTTGCTTCCACGCTAGACTTTAGGTTCTACTTAAGCAGCTGATGCATTTTCCAAAAGGAAACTAGCATAAGATCCAAAGTTTATGTCAACTCAAATTAATATCACTATGCTCAAAATACAATTAAACTTCAATGTTTTCGTATTCTTTCATTTCAAATAATATGAGAATATGGCTTAATTAAAAAATAAAGCAAAAACAAAAAAACAAGAAAACATCATTATTTTAATAGCAGCATTAATTAAAATGCATTAATTAACTGTTGAACAGACAATGGTTGTTCATTTGTTTCAAACAATCTAAAAATGGGAGCTTTAATTAAATAATTTTATACGCATGTTTTTCTCCACTGGAACAAAACTTGTTTATTAAATAATCTGAGAAGAAAACTATTTTCACCCCTTCTTGAGAAATAATTAAGTTATGACAGCTTTGAAAATACAGTTGTTTTCCTTCCAATTATTTATTATTTGCCTTAAAGAAGATATTAGCCATATTGTCTGTTAAATGTGTTAGCTGATACTAGCGAAAACAACATTCCCACTTGCTCTTATGGTAAGTTAAATTAGCTGCAAAGTTACGGGACTAAAGTAAACACATCATTTTCAATTCATTTCTCAAACTTTTTCAAACTAATCAAGAATTAATTCCAGACTACTGTTTGCTACTGTAATTTATTGCAAGATAAAAAAGCGAAGTCCAAAAATAAATTTGAACTTGTAAATAATGTGTTATCATTGGTATGAAAAATTTAGAAAGCTTAATTCTTTATGTTTGAATCAAAATCTCATTATTTGAATTAATGAATATAAAATTTAAAAAGTAAAAATTTATCATCAAGCCTTTTTTTACAGATTTTTTTTGTCTCGTTAGCAAAATTACAGTATTACATTTATTGGTACATTTCTTTGCATTTTACTAAAATATTTTATCTAAAAATTGTAGCTAATTTTCAAATTGCATAATTAATTAATGTTTTTAATAAATCACAAAATTTTTTTAAATATTTTATAGAAATTTGAATAATCTAAATTTTCTCAAAAGCTACGCACAGTTATGCTTTCCACATATTATCCACTTTTATTTCTACCTCAAAGATTATACAGAAGAAAACTAGAATTATCAAAATAATACACTCATTTTGTTTTTTTGTCACAAAAAGTTAGAATATTTCAACTTTTCATAGATTATTCAAATTTCTATGAAATAATAAAAAAATGCAGATAGTTGTGTTTACCTATCAGCTATGTTATGTAGTAGCTTTGAAATATGAGGGAATGTGTCAACAAAATTTGAAAAATCTAAGATATCTTATATAAATATATATATAAACGATATCTTGGAACCAGTTGTACTAGTTGGATAAAAGAAAAACGTGTTGGCCTCTTCCAAAACTAATATATTTCCATTCAAAACTCCTTTGCCATCAAATACTTGAGAAAATTTATAGGCAAACTAATGTATTTTGTTTTTATCCCAATGTCACTCACCGTACAAGATTTAATTAAATTTCATTTCACTTAAGCAATAATGCGATAAGCAAAAATCAGTATTATTTATTGCAACAATTAATAATTCCTTGTTAGAAAAAAAGATTCACAACTTAGTCGTTTGAATCTATTCAGTACGAATTCATTTCAAGCGAAGTCTATAAATTTGCCGTTAGCTCACTTCAGTGATTAATGAAATAATCTATTTCCCAGTGATAAGGAAGAAGAATATCAAGTACTATTAAATGAAAAAATATACTGACTTATTTTACAAAAAATATTTTATTAACATTTTTTATTATTCTTTTCCTTCTCATAAATCACTATAATATTAGTCAAATTCTTTTTTCTAGCTGAAAAGAATCAATATCAAAGTTAGTATTCAAAATAAATTCGACAATAAAATTTTGTGCGCAATGGTCTAAAAGCATTCCCAAACAATAATGTTAAAATGTTAATCATTTAATAACATATTATTACAAATTACTTAATCATCATTGCTTTGAATTTAATTTTCAACGAAATTTGAATATTTGCAAAAGTTTATAATTAGTTTTATTACAAGTTATATGCAAAAAATTTCTAGCAATAAAAGTCAGTAAAACAATATAGGAAAAAAGCGAAAGGAAAAATTAAATTACAAAAAAAATTTGCCAAATATCTGAAAAAATTTAATGATATAAGTTAAAACAACTTTATATAAAAAATTTTTTTGCTTTTTGTAAGTGAAAAATAACGAAATTTTTATGCCGTGTGAAAAGTGTCAGTCAATCATATGCTAACTAACAATTTTGGTTGCAAATTGTGAAGTGAATCAAATTTCAATACTGAAAAAAATAATTTATTCTTAAAATTGAAAAATAGGAAATTTAATAGCAGATGTGTTACTTTGAATTTTTATCTATCAAAAAAATAAAAAGTTTCAAGAAGAAAATGGCAAAATAAAAACAGTATAAAACCATTTAAATAAACTGACATAGAACTTATAGAAAATGCATTACATTCATTGGAAAGTATTTATTTATTTTTTCATGAAGTTGAAAAAAATTGAATCTCACGTTCAAATTCAAACTGCAAAGAAGATTTATCCTTTACTTTTTGTTCATTCATCTTTGCAACTTCATGACACTCTGTTCCATTTATTTAGCCATTTACTTAGCGCAAATAAAATTATTATTATTGCAAAAAAATTACATTCTGCTTTTACGTTATCTCTCTCTACAAATAAAAATTTTTCGATGCGTTAAGCTTACTTCTTACATTTAGGAAAAAAAATTGCTTCATATCAAATTTTAGCAATTGATGTATAGATATCAGAATTTGACAAGTTTATTTAATACTGACGTTGGCGAATGGCTCAATTTGGGATTTTTATTTGCATTTTTAAGTTTGTAGCAAAAACTTGTAAAGTTTTATCAAACAAATTTGATATTACAATTTTTTGTTTTGAAGGTTTTAAAAATGTGTTTCCTTTGTAATCTGTGAATTAAATTTAAAAATTGAAGCAAATAATAAAGCTGAAAATGCTTGAAATTGACGCAAATTTTTAAATTTTATCTTCTAACTTTAAACTTAATAGTCAAAATAGAACAGATTGTAAACTATGAGTTAAGATTTATTCAGCCTTTGCAGCAGCTCAGCTTATTTTGTACTTAGTTACTATAACTATGAATAAAAAAAAGAAACTTTTCTCACGATTGAAAGCAAAACTAAACAGATTCAAGTTTTCATAGTATATATCGATACATACATGTGATCATGTCAAGTTTTGATCTCTTTATATATATATATATATATATATATATATATATAT